AGTGCCAGCGCCCACGGGGCCGGGATGAGCCTGACCTCGGCGCCCGGCGCCCGTCGGCTCAGCCGGGCGGCGCCCCACGCGGGCCCGCGAACGGTGAGTGCGCAGCCCAGGGCGGGAAGAGCGGGCCAGGTTGGCTCGGGTCCCGCGCCTCTCCCTTCTTTCATTCCTTCCAGTGTCCCTCGTTCTTCCCTCCCCCCGGGTTTGAGTCCCCAGCTTCTGGCGCGGCCTTTCCGCCTGCGGCTGGGCGCTCTCCTTTCTCTTTGGCAGTTCCTGCCTCTTAGATGTCTCCTTCCGCGCCACGGTCTCGTTTGGGTTCCGGCTCAGTCCAGCCTCTTCTCTTTGCCTTCCTCCCTGCTTGGTTGCCTTTGTCTCCTCCCTCTCTTATTTGTTTTAGCTGCTCTCCGTGTCTCTTCTCTCAGTACCTTGGCTTAACCCAGACCATCGCTCTTCCGCTGTCCCCACCCCTCCTGCTGGCGGGAAAGGCAGAGCCAATTGAAGGCTGTCCAGAGTGTCACTCCCTCAGCCCTCAGCCCCCACCCTCTCCAGCCTGCTCCTACCTTCTGGCTGGGTCCCAAGTCCTGCTTCTCTGCCCCCTTACGGGGGGTGAGAATCAGGAGAACGCCCAGTTCACTCTAGGATCAGAACATTCTAAGTCCCTTCTGGGTTAGGTGCCATCCTAAAGACTTGTAGACGGGAAAGCATATCCAGCAGTGAGTTGACTGTAGTTCTTTCCAATAGGCTGATGATAACCATTGTTGTTGGCTACTGACAAAGTCACTTGCTTGGAAGCCGGGTGGCCCAAGGTGCTCAATAAATGTCTGAATTAATTACCAGGCAAGGGAGGAAGCCAGCACAGTACTTGATGCCAAGTAGGGCAAGATTACCTTTATCAGATTAGCAGGGGCTCCTGTAAGTTAGTGCTGAAGGTAAATGCCATTCCATTAAACAGACACTTACTGAGCATTCCTGATGTGCTGAGCACTGTAGTGGGGACTGGTAACAGAAAGATGACTCTAGGCTAGTCCTCCCTTAGGAATGTCCCAGTCTGATGGGGGATGCAGATGAACAAACAGAATTACAAGAGAGGTAACTACCAAGACAAGGGAAGTACAGGGCCCTCTGGGATCACAAAGAGACAACCTCTCCAGAAAGATTCCTGTGGGAGTTAACCAGAAAGATGAGTGGGCCAAGTGAAGGGAGCATAGGCAGCAAATGAGTGAAGCCCTGGAGGCAGTGGGGCCCAGCCTGCTGTGGCTGGGTGGGGGTGGCAGAGCAGTAGGTGGCTCTGTTGGAGTTGATTGCCAGGATTGCAAAGGGCCTTGTAAACCTTGTTAAGGAGTCTGGAGTTTCTCTGTAAGGGAATGTGGGATCACTGAAGTATTTAATGCAGGTGGTGACCAGATCAGATCCGCACTTCAGAGAAACTACTTTGGTTTCAGAGTTGCAATTGAATTGAGGGAGAACCCTGGAGGGAGCAGGGAGCCATGGAACTGAACAGAAATTTAGAATCCCTAGGACTTGGTGACTGATTACCTGTGTGGGAAGAGGTCGAGAAGCGGAGCAGAGTACAAGATTACAGTCTAGGTTTCTGGCTCAGATAACTGAGATAGGGTACAATGGAGAAAGGTCAGGGTTGTGGTATGGGGAGACATACAGGCTTGGGCTTGGGTGACATATGAGTGGACCTGTCCCTCCGCTGACTAGACTAAGGGTGACCTAAGGAAATGTACGAATGTTTGGTGGGGTGAGAGCTGGGTCTGTCTGATTCATTCCTATGTCCTCATGGCCAGCACTAGCTTAGCACCTAGCAGAGGATCCTAAAGACCACATTTCCCCAGTGTGTGCACACAAGGGCCTGGATTAGGCTTGCCTACCCAGGAATGCTTCAGCAGGGTGACTGGTAGAAAAGGTTGGGAAGAGGGACCATGAGGAAGGACAGGTCATCTGGAAGAGGGATGGAAATGAAGTTTTTATCTGCTAGAAACAAGTACTGTAGTACTTATGGATGAGGTAGGAGGTCTGGGATTTCCAAGGAGATTGGGATTTTTGGGAAAACAAGGAGAAAAGGGATAGAATTAAGAAGCTTGTGAACAAGGCCCAGGTCTTAGTTGATAAAGAAATGGGGGTGAGGATGTTAGGGCAGTGAACTGCTTTGTTTAGCATCTGGAAAGGAGCTTCAGAAACAGTATTAGAAGTGATTGGATTTATTAAACCTTCAGAGCTGGAGAGACAGAGTTTTCTTTGTCCATTTTGCCTCCTTATTTCGTAAATGGCTAAGCTTAGGCCAGAGAAAGAAGTGAGAAGCCCCAGGCACATAGCTAATTACTGGCAGCAGGGGAACTGGATGTTGGGAGGGTGGGGTAGGGCACCCATGTTGTGCTGGAGTCAGACTGGTATGGGTTTGATCCCAGCTCTGACCTCCTCACTTCGTAGCTTTATGACCCTTCTTTCTGAACTTTCCTCGCCTGTAATGTGGGGACAGTAAGAGGGCCTGTGAGCTTTCAGTGGTACAGGAGTGAGAAGAACCCATAGAGCCATTCAGTGGTTGAAGCCTGCAACTTCACATTTGACTGCCTGCTTTACAGAGCCACCTCAGGGTTAACCAAACAGCCTTGCCGAACCAGAGGCCTTGAGGTTTATGGGAGAAAGAGGGAGTCACAGGTTCTGGGCTTATTGCTTCTTCTCATGGCTGTATTGCTTGGCTGCTGTCAGAACGCATCCTCTCCTCTCTTTCCACTCTAGCTAGCAGAACTCTCCCTTGGTAGGAGCAGTTGCCATGGCAACTCAGTTCTCCTCAGCAGTTTGGCTGCCTTTAGCTCTCTTAATTCCAGTACTTTAATCTTAGAGCCCACAGACAAGTTGAAAAGGAGGTCACACCTAAATTAGACTGAAGGACATTCCTGAGCCCTCTCCCTCTCCCTGGCTCTGCAATGACCAGTGGTAGAGTCTAGGTTGGAAATCCAGGCTTCTCCCTAACACTGCAGAGATCTTTTCTGCAGCAGCAGCCATCACATCCCCTAGGAAACCTTCCCCGACAAGCTCCAACACACATCCACAAAAAGAGCCAGTCCCTCCTACCTTTGAGTCTTCCCCCTCAGCACCTACACATTTGAGCCATCTGTTTCCCTCTCTCCCCTGTGAGCTCCTCAAAGGCAGGAACTATGTCCTATTCATCTGCTTAAGAGGAGGCTGGAATGGAATAGGTCCTCCTTACATTTTGTTGGATAAATAGGAAATGAAGAGTGGAGGTATTTGAAGGTGGAAAATTAATTTATGTAACGACTAAGTGCAAGCTTCAGGGTAAATCAGACCTGAGTTCAAATCCCGACACTATCACTTACTAGCTGGTTGATCTTAAGGAACTTCACCTCCTTAAGCCTTAGTTTATTCATCTGGAAAATGGGGATTTAATACATCTTTCATAGGACTGCTATGAGGATTGAGTTAGCGCAGGTGAAGCATTCTGCAGTTACCGGACTGTGAGGGGCGGGGCTGTGTCCCCCTTGTTTCTCACTGTGTCCCAGGTACCTGGCACAGAATAGGCAGGTACATGTTTTTTTGAATGAGTGAGTAAAATTTATTTTATTTTATTATTTTTGTGGGTGGGGTTATTAGTTTTATGTATTTATTTATTTAATGGCGGTACTGGGGGTTGAACCAGGACCTCGTGTATGCTAGGCATGCACTCTACCACTGAGCTATACCTTTCCCACTGTGGGTGAATTTTAAATGATGAAATTTGTTCAGGAAGCTGGTTTGTAAGGACAGCTGGTGTATCATCTCATATGTAATAATCGCTATACAGTATTCCTGTATTTTTGTTAGGTCTGTGTGGCAGCACTTAGTATTTCTTGAATGCAGCTCAACTTTCAGTCTTTTTCCAAGGGCCTCTCTGCACTGGCCTGTGGGCATTTCCACCTGGGTCTGACCCACATCCTTAGTGCTCAGCCCTGGTCTAGAGAAGAGGCCTCTAAAAATTCTGATGAACAGCTAAACCTAACTTACATTTGTACTGTACCTTACAGTTTATGAGGCAGTTTTTCATCTGCTGTATTTGGTGTTACTGGCCTTGTCACCACCAAGGATGTTCCTGTGATTTAATTCTATGGGCCCGACTATTTTGTTAAAAAAAAAAAAAAAAAAACCTATCAGACAAATGCCATTTGTTAGACAAAGTCGTGCCAGTTGATAATTAGAACTTCTGATCTATATGAAATAGGAATTTTTACCCCCACTCCCAGCACAGGATTTGGACACACAGTAAATACCCAAGAAATGATTCCTGAATGAATACATGTGTGATTTCTTTAGCCTTTTTGAAAGGTTGAAAATGTTTTTTCCCCAATACCCTCCCCCGCCTTAAACTATATGTTAGATCTGAGCATCCCTGTCAGGAACTCTTTTTTTTTTTTTTTACATTTTTTATTGATTCATAATCATTTTACAGTGTTGTGTCAAATTCCAGTGCCTGTCAGGAACTCTTGACCTCACAATAGCTCCATATCCCCATTTTATAAACAAGGAAACTGAGGCCTAGGAAGGGAAAAGGCCTTGCCACAGGCCATACTTTACATGTGTTGTCCCTGGGACTTGCTTCCTCAGCAGCTTGCTCTCTAATAGTCTGTGACCTAAATGAGAAAATTCAAATGCTTGAATGGGTATTCTTTTTTTTTGTATTTTATTTTTATTTTATTA